AATTGTTGGATTCTTTGTATGAAATAATTTAGGACCGTCCTTTCAAATAGTTTACAATTGGAAAATGAGGAGTGAGTAAACAAATATATATTAGGAAACGTTTCGGTCCTGGAACTTTGTTTCCTCATATTATGAGTTTCAGTCTCAGGAGTTACTTATGCACCCCATTCCATCCTGTGGCTTTGGGGTCCCAGGACCGAAACGTTTTCTAATAAATATATCTTAAAAATGTTTGTTCGCGTCTTTTTTTGTCAGTATTATATCATTGATGATTAATGGCGTCCGCGCCGGCTCTAGAGCTGTTTTCGGTAAAACTGGTTATAATTGACGTTTCTGCGTTTGTATTCAATGATGTTTTAAGTCGATGGTACAATTATTTCCTAGTCTTGGGAGTTAATTGTAGTCCTCAGTAGTACATAAGTCGTAATTTTTGGCAAACCCTAAGACTATATTGTAGCCTTGAGGCGCCCGGTGATCTGGGTAATTGCCACTTGCAGTAAAAAGTGTGAATGCTTTGAGAAAATACCAGAGCAGCGAACGGACATCCCAGTGCATCGTTTCAGCGTAAATAGTTGAAGTGTTGTGCAGTTTCAGAGGATTTGGTGTTGTCGACTCAGGACCAGTCAGCGCCTCCCCCCCTCTCCACTGGGGGGGAGGGGGAGGGCGTGTGTAGTAAACAGTGACCCTCTCATAACGCCTCACACCTGCGTGTCTCCCCCGCCTCACCCACCCAACTCCCAGCGCCACCCCATCTGTAGAGGGTACTTCTCCCCTAACCCACGATGTCAGCGATGGCACTGCAGGGAGTGCCGGGCTCACAGGAACTTCCACTACAGGGACAGCATCATGGAGTTCGACCGCGAGGCAGCTGTCAGGTACTCACCTATTTGTACTCACCTATTTGTGGTTGCAGGGGTCGATTCACAGCTCCTGGCCCCACCTCTTCGCTGATTGCTACTAGGTCCTCTCTCTCCCTGCCCCATGAGCTCTATCATACCTCGCCTTAAAACTATGTATGGTTCCTGCCTCCACTACATCACTTTCTAGGCTATTCCATGGCCTGACTACTCTATGACTGAAGAAATACTTCCTAACATCCCTTTGATTCATCTGAGTCTTCAACTTCCAATTGTGACCTCTTGTGTCTGTGTCCCATCTCTGGAACATCCCGTCTTTGTCCACCTCGTCTATTCCGTGCAGTATTTTATATGTCGTTATCATGTCTCCCCTGACCCTCCTGTCCTCCAGTGTCGTCAGGCCGATTTCCCTCAACCTTTCTTCATAGGACAATCCCCGTAGCTCTGGGACTAGTCTTGTTGCAAACCTTTGCACTTTCTCTAATTTCTTGACGTGCTTGACTAGGTGTGGATTCCAAACTGGTGCTGCATACTCCAGTATGCAGCACGGGTATCGGAGGTATCGGAACGCTATCCGTAGGTTTGCCAGGCGCCTATATGCTGCAGCAGTTATCTGATTGATGTGCGCCTCAGGAGATATGCTCGGTGTTATACTCACCCCCAGATCTTTTTCCTTGAGTGAGGTTTGCAGTCTTTGGCCATCTAAACTATATTGTGTCTGCGTTCTTCTTTGCCCTTCCCCAATCTTTATGACTTTGCATTTGGCAGGGTTAAATTCAAGGAGCCAGTTGCTGGACCAGGCTTGTAGCCTGTCCAGGTCTCTTTGTAGTCCTGCCTGATCCTCGTCCGATTCGTATCTCTTCTCATTAACTTTACATCATCTGCAAACAAGGACACTTCTGAGTCTATCCCTTCCGTTATGTCGTTCACGTATACCAAGAACAGCACAGGTCCTAGGACTGACCCCTGTGGAACCCGCTTGTCACAGGCGCCCACTCTGACACCTCGTCGCGTACCATGTGACTCGTTGTTGCCTCCCTGTCAGATATTCTCTGATCCATTGCAGTGCCTTTCCTGTTATGTGTGCCTGGTCCTCTAGCTTTTGCAGTAACCTCTTGTGAGGAACTGTGTCGAAGGCCTTCTTGCAGTCCAAAAATACGCAGTCAATCCACCCCTCTCTCTCTTGTCTTAACTTCTGTCACCTTGTCATAAAACTCTAGTAGGTTTGTGACACAGGATTTTCCTTCCCTGAAACCGTGCTGGTTGTCATTATACACTTGTTTCTTTCCAGGTGCCCACCACTCTCCTCCTGATGATCTTCTCCATGACCTTGCATACTATACACGTTAGTGATACAGGTCTGTAGTTTAGTGCCTCATGTCTGTCTCCCTTTTTAAAAATTGGGACTACATTTGCCATTTTCCATACCTCGGGGGAGTTGCCAGTTTCAAATGATGTGTTGAAGATCTTTGTTAATGGCCCCACACAATATTTCTGCTCCCTCTTTAAGGACCCATGGAGAGATGTTGTCTGGTCCCATCGCCTTTGAGGTGCCAAGTTCGCATAGCAGCTTCTTCACCTCCTCCTTGGTTATATGTACCTCATCCAGCACTTGCTGGTGTGCCCCCCTGTTCTGATTTCTTGGAGTCCTACTGGTTTCCACTGTAAATACCTTTAAATCTTGCGTTGAGCTCCTGACATACCTCTCGGTCGTTTCTTGTGAATTCCCCATCACCCTTCCTCAGTCTGATTACCTGGTCCTTGACTGTTGTTTTCCTCCTGATGTGGCTGTACAACAGCTTCGGGTCAGTCTTTACTTTTGATGCAAGGTCATTTTCATATTGTCTCTGAGCCTCCCTTCTTATCTGTGCATATTCGTTTCTGGCTCTTCGGCTGATTTCTTTATTTTCCTGAGTTCTCTGTCTTCTGTACCTTTTCCATTCTCTAGTACACCTAGTTTTTGCCTCCCTACACCTTTGGGTGAACCAAGGACTCGTTCTGTTCTTCCCATTATTTCTGTTTCCCTTGGGAACAAACCTCTCCTCTGCCTCCTTGCATTTTGTTGCTACATAGTCCATCATTTCGTGTACTGGTTTTCCTGTGAGTTCCCTCTCCCACTGAATGTCTTGAAGGAAGTTCCTCATGCCTGAGTAGTTCCCCCTTTTGTAGTTTGGTTTTTCCCAGCCTATTCCTGCTACTCTCTCCACTTGGAGCTCAACTATGTAGTCGAAGCACAGAACCACATGATCACTAGCTCCCAGGGGCCTTTCATACATGATACCCTCGATGTCCGAACTACTCATGTGTGTACGTGTGTGTGTGTGTGTGTGTGTTTTGTGTGTGTTTGTGTGTGTGTGTGTGTTTGTGTGTGTGTGTGTGTTTGTGTGTGTATATGTGGGGTGTGTGTGTTTTGTGTGTAATTATGTGTCGAATTATGTGTGGGTTTATTATGTGTCTGAAAAGTAGGTGGCTTGTGCTTGGAGTGTAATGTAGATTCTCAGTTGTCGCTTGTGTCCACAACCTCTTGTGACCTGACTCCCACCCTTACAGTGTTGCCTATGCTCGGACCTGCTTATAGTGAGTTAATCACCTTGTTCAATGGATTACCATTTGCTAAACCTTATTGAATACTTGAGTGCCTATTCTTTATCGTGCTATGAGAGTTAGACCATTCACATTCAGCTTGGCGGTTAATTGGAACCTGGAACCCCACACCCAACAACCACTCATAGGTGATACAGTATTTGTGTGCAGCTGTAGCACTGTAGATTGTCCAGGTCGATGTGACGTCCTGGCGTAGATCCAGCTCGATGTACGTTCTGGCGTAGATCCACCTCAATTTCTTCTCGTTAATAATTACCCTATTCACTGTATTTCTCTCACTGGTCACACGATTGTTTCACTTTATCATCTTTCTTGGGTGACACTTGACAACGTCGCCCTACACACTAGCCTGCCCACTCTGCGCCACAACGTTTTTATTTTCTAGATCACTTACAAAATTGTGGTTCTCCCCACACTTATGTGGCTCAGGCAGATTAAAAATCACTTCTAGGATTGTTCACTACCCTGACACACTTAGAGGGTCGATGGTGCTCGTGCAAGCAGCAGATCCCAGGGCAACTTGCTGCTGTTTGCAATGGCTGTCTGCCGAGGAGAGACAGGCACCTAGCAACATCTGTTGTTGGGGCAATGGATGAATTCCCTGCTATGTTTGTTAACTGCTCATTACTCTGTAATTTGTCTATGATTGTAATCATGTGATAACGTGTTTATCATTCATTACCTTTGAAACTTGTCATGATTTTGACCAGCTCTACCTGGAGCTCATTACCTTTGTAAATTCTCATGATTAATGTGTTTATGATTCATTACCTTTGCAATTATTCATGAGTGTGACCAGCTCTACCTGGAGCTCATTACCTTTGTAACTTGGTCATGATTATGACCAGATCTAGTTCATTACCTTTGTAACTTGCTCAGCTATCAAAACTTTGGAGTCCAGTCCCTGGACCAATTATGTACCTCTGTAATCTTTTGACTACCGCCCACAGGATGGCTATGGGGTGCATAATAAACATATTAAACTAAAAACAGTAAAATGTGCTAATATTTAACGATACCTTATTACCTTGTTGCTTGAACTATTTCACCGACAGTCCTTGAAAGTCCATGCATGGTATTGTCCATTTGCATGCTGTGATCATTTAAAAATGCCCCAGTTAGATGAAAATGACAGGGACAAGACCAAAAAAAAAAAAAAAAAAAAAAAACTTGACCGTTAAGCCTAGTTAGTGGCCAGTGGCGGCCTCTGCTAGACGCGGCCATCACTACGCTCACTATTTTCCTCAATTTATTTGGTTGATTGATACTTTAATAGGCTCGCAGGTGAGATGTAGTACTGACTGACAGTCAACAATGGTTCATGCATGTTCCACTGTTATAATTTTGCACTGCTACTTGTTACTCAAACTTAAAATATGTGTTGTAACTTTCTACCTCTGGGTTAGCATAGGTATTTTTTTTTATTAGTACGTAATTAACAAGTTTAATCTTAATCTTTTTTAATAGATTTCGCCATACATAAAAAGGATATCGCAGCATTGTCAAGTTCCAAAATTGAGAGTTTGTACATTTGGTACTTGTTATGCCTTACAGTATTTGGCAAGAATTCAAGTTTTCTAGCGTTAATATATTACAATATTTAAGTGAAACTAGACACATTCTTAATAGTGCTTCATTTATATCTTTTTAGAAAAAGCATTTCTTATGGACATTTTTAACAGCAGCTGCTGTATAGTCCTTGTGGCTTAGCGCTTCTTTTTGATTATAATAATAATAATTTAACAGCAGCTTCATTGAAAATGTGTATGAGGTGTAAACAAAGACTTCAGACATCACTGGGCTCAGGTTAGATATATATGTATAAATATACGATCCCTAGATTAAGAAAACTTACCTTAGGTGGAATTAAGCAAGGTTTATTCGGTCAGACACCAAGTTATGACATGGGACAGCAATGGAAACCATTCATACTGTCTTTGTTGGTTATCCTAGGTTAAATTCTCATAATGATAAATATTTCTCCCATTGCAAGACACACCGAGGGTAAATATTTAGGTCTACACTTTAACTGCCACTTGAAATATAATGCCCACAACCAACACATAGCCAGGATCTCTAAAACAGTAGACATCCTCTCCATGATATGGTACTGTGTACCTCAAACATTATTTACATTGTATTACTAATCTATCCTTATCTCACCTATGGTATTTGTGCTTGGGGATCTACTACACCAAATCAAATCACCTAAAACCACTAACAACCCAACAAAATGCCTATGCGTTGACTATCACTCATTCCAGTTCCAGACAACACCCCACTTCCCCACTCTTCAAAAGCTTGAACTTACTTAATATACACAGTATGTACTTGTACTACTGTGCCTACTTTATATATGTTAGGCCTAGGTGACATCAATGACATACTACTATATAGAAATCCCCTGGTTGTGCAGAGCATTTCAGGCAAATTAGGTCAGTTTTGTCCCGGGATGCGATCCACACCAGTCACCTAACACACAGGTACCCATTTTTTACTGATGGGTGAACATAGACAACTGGTGTGAGGAAACACGCCCAGTGTTTCAACCTTTACTGGGAATCGAACTAGGACATCACCATGTGAAGCAAGAGCTTTTGCCATCAGGCCATGGGCCTATGCAAAATATCAATGTGCATGAAAGGCCCTAAGATTGGAATTCATTACATGAATTATCAAACGACCTCCTGTGTGCCAATCATCTCAGGTCTATTGTTAAAAAGCACCTATATTTCCCTTATCCAATTTTGTCCCTGTTCTTCCAGCCTTCCTTCATCTCCTATAGGAAATTAGTAACACATCTTATCCCATTGTATTCTCTACTCATCACTCCACTAAACTAAGATAATTGAATCATTTTGAAATAAATCATACTTTTGAAATTTTACCATTTGTTTATTATCTACCTTTCTTATTTTGTACTATATATATGATTGTAGTTAACTGCATAAGAATTTCTACTTGATAATCTCTCTAAATCTGAAGTAACTTTTAAGCATTAGGATTAGTTTACCCAAAATGCACTGCATACTAGTGACTTACTCTGTGCTTACATAAAGAAATATAAATTGTTTCGTATTGTGTTGTAATGTTTACACAAGAATTGTGTTTAATGGAACCGTTGTAGAAATTTAAGCTAGCAGTTGGTAAAGCACATGTGTACCTGTAGCTTTTCTTTAACTTAACAAGGTACTGCACTGTGGAAATAGCTGATATTTTTTTTTTTTTTTTTTTTTACACATCAATTTTACAGGCTAAGAGCTGTTATCTTACCTTGGCTCATTTCAAAGCCCAGTCTTATCTAAAGGTATACTACCACCACTCCAGGATGCAGTCCACAACAGGTACCTACTTCTAGGTGAACAGGGGCAGCAGGTGTAAGGAAACATGCCCAAAGTTTCCACCCATGCTCTGTACTGACTCGCCTTCGAGTCGGGCACTCGCGACTGGTGGCTCATCTATATCGCCTTCGGATGACGGACTCTCCGTACTGCCAGTGGTGTCCCTCACAGCCTGAGACGGTGGAACACTTCCTACTGTGGTGCCCACGTTATCACTCTGCACGGACTACTCTCCGTGCAGCCTTGCGCGTACTTGGGGTGCACACTTTCACTCTACCTGTCCTCCTCAACGGGGAGGGGTTTCGCCCTCCGGACCGTCAGGAAATATTAGCTTGTACCTGCTCCTTCCTGCTGGCTTCAGGACGTATCAGAGACATATAATATTAGTCAAGACATTCTTCCACTTTGGTCGATATTCCCTCTCCTAGCACTGGACGGCCGGGCTCGATACGGCGTATGCTGTCAGTGGCCCTGAAACCCCAACAGAAGAAGAAGTAGAACACCCATGCTCGAGATCGAACCACAGACACTTGGTATGTGAGCTGAGTGTCATATTGTTTGACCTTATTGGATTATTCTAGATTGAATCTACATTAAGTGCCCATAACTTGTGCACCCTCAAGACCATTGTAAAAAGATATACAGTGGCCCCTCGTTTATCGTCGTTAATCCGTTCCTGGAAGTGCGACGATTATCGAAATAGACGGTTTTCGAATCGATTTTCCCCATAAGAAATAATGTAAATACAATTAATCCATTCCTGACGCCCAGAAGTATTAAAACAAAAAAATTTTTTACATGAAATATAGATCTAGTACATAAACAATACAGTGAGACATGATGAATGAAACATTAACAGCATAACACTTACCTTTATTGGCAATTCTTCTTAGTGTATGGAAGACTGGAGGAGGAGAGAGATTGGATTAATTACTGTTTGGAAGGGGAATCCCCTTCCATCAACACCTCAGGTACCAAGTTCTTTTCAATATAGACACCTTGTATTGTGCCAAAACAAAAGCATTCACATTGCTAAACTCACAAATTATGATGTCACATAGCCTTAATACCATAATCTGTAAGGAATGCCTAGCCATGCTAGGTGTCCTAGTGGCCCCCTCTAATTAGTATTTTATAACATGTAAACCACACAGTACCCAAAACCTGTAAACCCCACATTGTAACCCTTATAGAGAATAAACTTGAATTGAATTGAATTGAATTGAAGAGGTTCATAGATTCCAGATTTTGTCCATAGTGATGGTGTCCAGTAGCCTTCTGAATTTATGGACCAAGTCCAATTATTCCAAAATTTGTCTTGTATGAGCCAGAGTGTCCACATGCATGATCTGTCTGTTTCATTGTTTCATGAACCATAAGATGCCTGTGTCAGTTTGTCTGCTCTCATGCAGACACTCATTATTTAGTCTCCTGTTTTCCCCCTGGATTCACAGTGTTTTGCATGACTATTAATGTGTTAAGTAAAGTGCAAGTGGTAGTGCCAAGATGAAAAGTGTGAATGTCAGTGTTAAGGAGAAACTTGAATTAATAAGGAAGGTTGAGTCTGGAGTCTTAGTGGCACAGGCATGTGATGGGTGTAATGTTAAGAAGCTGTCCAATGTTCATAGAAGCAAAGATAAACTTGCACTTTCCTCTTAAGTTTAGTATAGATGCTAGTGGAGCTTTACAGCTCCTCTGACTAAGAATAAAAGTTATTCCGAGTCACTACTAACGATCATGGCAGTTTACAGTTCATGTCTCTACCACAAAAAGTAAGTAAAATTACCATACTGTATGTGAACAGTACTGTACTATTGTGCTTTCAACTTCATTTTTATTGGCAGTATACAGTAGTCCTGTACCATTTTACAAGTTGCAATATTCTTAGCATTAACTAGTCTTCTGAATCAATGGAAAAACTCTGCTGATTCTGAGCTTTGTTAAAAAAAAAATTCATCATTCAGAATCTATGGACAGTTGGCAATAATGTACACCCAGTCCCTCCCCTATTAGTCCATTAATTCAAGGAGTCTCTATGCATACATGTTCTGTTAAGCTCTGCCACTGTATATGGCTTAAATAAAGAACCGAAGTGAACATTGTTCTTTTTCTATATTAAACAATTTTTTTTCTCATTGCTTCATTAGATTCTGTGATTTATTGGTAAAGCTACTCTTCCTCACACAGCTTTTGAGGATACTACTACTAAATACTGTACTGTACTACTAACTGTTACTACTACTAGTTACTAATAACACTTACTACAGTTATAATACTTCTACTACTATAATATGTACTACCACTTCATTTCTTTTTCCACTACTGCTAACTACTATTACTATTTCTTATCTTCTACTACTACTGCTATCCTTTTTCTTTTTTATAACTGTTGCTGCTGCTACCTATTGCTTATTCATACACAGGCTTTAACCTGGTCAATCAATGGCTTCGGGGACTGAACCCCTAGGTGTTGTTTTGGTTAAACAAGTTACAGTAGTAGCAGTAAAGTTACAAGTCAACTGGTGTAGTTAGAGTATTGTATTTGGCTTTCTCTTCACCTCTTCAACTGACCTGTCTCTTGGCTTTCTCTCTTATTCTCCCTCACTTGTGACTTGATAATGGGCTAGGACAGACTGAACTATGGCTTGAAGTTTCCTTCCCAAATTGGGGGTTTGGTATGAGTATTATTCTGTACCTAATCTTACCAGCAGTACCTTAAATTGAAGGAAGCAACTGGAACTAGAAGATGGGTAATTCATTGCATAGCATCTGCACAGAGGAAGCCTGCCAACTAAAATCTCTAGTAAATTTATTGCAGATCATGCTGTTTTCCTATGAACATTGCAGATTGACCACAGGAATGAAGTCAGCCTTTTCTTATGTGAAAGTGGTACTTGTTTCCTTTAATTGCATCCCCCTTGATAATGGTTTCAAGAGATAGGCTGCAACTGCTGAAAAATAGAACAGAAATTTGCTGTGTAGGCCTCTTGACACAATAGTTGTTTAACCCGTAAACGGTCTAAACGTATATACGTATACGTTTTTTCAACATTTGAAAGTATGTAAAAAAAGTATTTTTTTTTTTTTTTTTTTTTTTTTTTTTTTTTTTTTTTTTACATTTGAAAATGTGTAAAAAAAAACTTTGATCTACTTTTTTTTTTTTTTTTTTTTTTTTGTATTTGAAAATATGAAAAAAAAACATAGGTCTACTTTTGGAGCACTACACATGTGAACGTAGATCTGCTTGGACCGTTTACGGGTTAATCTAGGGTCAAAAACTTGCAATCAGATTATAGTGCAGGATTTGTGCTTCTGGAGGTCCCTGCAAATCCAGAATCAGTGAATGTCACTAAATTATGTTCATATAGTACATGTAATCAGTATTATTTCAGATTTGGGCTCATGCCATATATTTTAATGTATTGCATAAGAAAAATTCCAGAAAGAATAGAACTTTGAGCATTGAAAACATTAGCATATTGAGCAAAATCATATGAGTGACTTTTAGTTTAGAGATCATATATTAAGCCAGAACAAAATGGCAGCACCAAAATCATAATTAATCAAAACTATTCATAGGACAACCTTAGGTAAAAACATTGTACAACCATGTATCATGTCAAAATACATGTATACTATAGGTCGGGGCTCACTAATCCGGCAATCAGTTATCTGGTTCCATCAGTAATCCAGCACTAATTTTGTCTAGCATAAATTCAAATTTCATCATTATACCGACTCAGAAATTGTGCAGATAGTTGTAAATCCACAGCAGCAAGCCAGTGGAGGAGAAAGCAGTGATGAAAAAGAGGAAGATGTAGCAGAAAGAGTCTCTATTGATAGGTTGATTAACCCTTTGACTGTCGCAACCCCCAATCCTGAGGTGTCTCCTGGTGTCGCAAAATTTAAAAAAAAAAAATATTTTTTCTTATGAAATGATAGTGAAAATTTTCCGATTGTAATGACACCAAAAAAACGAAATTTGATGGAAAACTGACGGAATTATGCTCTCGTGAAGTTAGCGACCTCGGTGCTGTTTACAAATCGGCGATTTCGCCCAATTTGAGCCCTATTTTCGGCTAATTCCATTGCTCCAGTCGCCCAAACTCATAGCTAATTCTTTAGAACTCCATTTTTTCTATCGAATGAGTACAAGAAACTGCCCATTTACCGATTTCAACTACCTAATAATGTGGTCAGAAATTTGCAATTTGGCCAATTTCACAAAAACTAAAAAATATGACAATTTCAAAATAAGGTCCAGAATGAACAATGCAGACATTCCTGGCTCTAAAATAACATTTTCTTTGCTTATCAGTCATGTCTCCAGGCCCCTCTGATATTACTCTTGCTTTCTGTTTTTAATTTTTATTCAAATAAAAAATAGAAGACTTACTATTATGCAGACTACTGCAATACTGTAATAATTTTTATAAATAACATCAACCCATTCATGACTGCATATTAGAATGGCTAGTTGGACATTTATTGGACAATGGCATCATTTGTTTACTTTTGAACATTGGCAAAAATCAAACATTTCCCCTAATTTGAGCTCCATTTCTAGGTTCTTTTTATAGTAAAATCAATCAAAATCACCTCTATTTCTATAATATGTTTTCCATTCTATCATATGAGACCAAGAAAACGAGAATACAACCATAAATACTATACGAAAATAGACCACAAAGTCGGCATTTTAATTAAAAAAAACGGTCAGTTTTTTTTTCTCATTATGCACTGCGTGCTCCAGGATTTTTTTTATATGGTGCACACTGACCACACAGACCCATTCTCTCACATGTGGGCCTACCAGCTTTCTCCTGCTTGATTCGAAGCCGCTAGAATTTATGAGTATATATACGTCAAACACGGTACCTCGTAAGACGTATATATACGGCCGCGACAGTCAAAGGGTTAAGTGTATTCTAACCTAACCACTTTGTAATCCAGCAAACTTGCTAATCCAGCACACTACAGGTCCCAATGATGCCAGATTAGTGATGGCTGACCTGTATTTTTATTATTATTATTATTATTGCATAATTTAAGCACACAAATTTGGAAGTCTGTAAATTTAGGGGTTTTACTGTACTGTATCTTGTTTTGCACATTCAGTTTGCTATTACTGTTCTGCATTGAACACATTAGCTCTTAGATTTAAACGATTACAATATTCTAATTTGTTAAAAGTCACATTACTGAATGACACAAAATAAGACTGAACATTACTAACGTAATTTTATGTCCACAGGGACCAAGGTGAAAACGTATGGATGGAAGCTGACAGAAGACAATTTAAAAATTTGAAATAATCTGTGGCAAGAATTGCAGAATCTAGAAACTAAATGGAAAGATTACTTAAACTTGTGAAGTGGAGCAATGTTATTTCAATAGAAATTTGCTGGAACATGTTGTATGAAGTTCCTTGAATACAGTACATAACATCAGCTTAATCTTTTAGAGCACTTTTTTATATACAAGGTACTTCTGCAAACATTCACTATGTTAATAAAACATAAATGGAAAATTAGTCAGTTGAAACTAATTGATATACAGTGTACATAAATGTTAAATGGGTATGAATTGACCACTAAGGTACTAACAAAGTGATAATATTTTAGATTTAAAAGTTAAGGTATAATTTTGATTTTAGCATTAAATTTAGTGAAAAATTACTGTCATCCTATATGTATAAGTAGTCATAAAGTACCAACCAGAGTTTGAGTGATAAAACAAATATTTTGACTGGAATTTACCAGTGAAAAAAAAAATTCAGAATTGAATGACAAAAATGTTTAAATATATTGAATCATAGGATTTTATTGGGTAGAACTATTTATATATAAATAATTATTAGATACAAGTTTTAAAGAAATATTACAATGGAAGCTTTACCTGAAGATTCATGTGCTATTACACCAGGACTGGAAGACAGGGAGTATTCCGAGGGTGAAAATGTATTTGAACAGCATTGTGACCCTAATGCTCTTCTATTGAATGACACTACAGACAAATCATTTCACTGCACTTTATGTGGGAAAGGGTTTTCCCAAAAAGGATCCTTAAAAAGGCATACACAGACTCATTCAGGTGAAAAACCATTTGGTTGCCCTGTGTGTGGAAAGGTGTTTTCAAGAGAGAGTAACTGTAAGGAACACATTCTTATTCATACTGGAGAGAAACCATTTCAGTGCACACTATGTTGCAAAGGATTTACCCAGAAAGGTACTCTTGTAAAGCATCTCTATACTCACACTGGAGGTAAACCATATGAATGTTCAGAATGTGGGAAGACATTTGCACGTATTGGTGAACAGAAAATCCACATGGTGACTCATACAGGAGAGAAAGCACATGAATGTGCTTTGTGTGGAATGGCATTTGGGCAGAAAGGTTCACTTACTAGGCATATGCAGTCTCATTCTGGAGAGAAGCCTTTTAAATGTGATTTATGTGGAAAGTTTTTTGCCCGTAATAGCAACTTAAAAGTGCATTTGCTTAATCACAAGGGAGAAAAATCATTTGTGTGCTCGATATGCGGAAAAAGTTTTGCACAGAAAAGTACTCTTAAGAAGCATAACTACACACACATCACAGAGAGATCAGTTGAATGTCCTATCTGTGGCAAGGCATTTGTGCATCAAGGTCAGATTAAGCTACATATGCTTAGTCACACAAAAGAAAAATTATATGACTGCTTATTATGTGGGAAGAGTTTTGCACAGAAAGGTTCTCTTGAAAAACACATTTTTATTCATACTGGCCAGAAACCATTTGAGTGTAAAGAGTGTGGGAAAGTTTTTACTCAGAAGGGCCACTTGACTACACATATGTTAACTCACACTGGAGAAAAGCAGTTTGAATGTTCTGAGTGTGGAAAACCATTTGCTCGGAACAGTGATCTGAAAGCTCACAAAGTAATACACAGTGGAGAAAAACCATACGAGTGCCCAATATGTGGGAAATGCTACTCTCACAAAAGTAATGTTAGTAAACATATACGAACTCACACGGGTGAAAAACCATTCGAGTGTTCAAAATGTGATAAAAGGTTTGTCCAGAAAAATTCCCTCAGGAAGCATATGCAGTCCCATACAGATGAAAAGTAATGCTTTATATCAGTTTCATTAATGCAAATTTTCTGGCATAATGAGATTTTACTAAAACTGTAAAATATCTGTACTACAATAATGTGCAGCATTGAAAAAAAATAGTATTTTCAAAGGTATGTTAAATGATATTTAAGTTTTTTTAAATTGATTCATATGTTAACAAGTAAATTTTTATGAAAAAAGTTAAGCCAAGTGGGAGTTGATAGCATTTAACCCTTTGACTGTCGCAACCCCCAATCCTGAGGTGTCTCCTGGTGTCGCAAAATTTAAAAAAAAAAATTATTTTTTTTTATGAAATGATAGAGAATCTTTTCCCGATTGTAATGACACCAAAAAAAACGAAATTTGATGGAAAACTGACGGAATTATGCTCTCGCGAAGTTAGCGACCTCGGCGCTGTTTACAAATCGGCGATTTTGCCCACTTTGAGCCCTATTTTCGGCTAATTCCATTGTTCCAGTCACCCAAACTCATAGCTCTTTCTTTAGAACTCCATTTTTTTCTATCGATTGAGTACAAGAAACTGCCCATTTACCGATTTCAACTACCTAATAATGTGGTCAGAAATTTGCAATTTGGCCAATTTCACGAAAATTAAAAATATGACAATTTCAAAATAAGGTCCAGAATGAACAATGCAGACATTCCTGGCTCTAAAATAACATTTTCTTTGCTCATCAGTCATGTCTCCAGGCCCCTCTGATATTACTCTTGCTTTCTATTTTGAATTTTTATTCAAACAAAAAATAGAAGACTTACTATTATGCAGACTACTGCAATACTGTAATAATTGTATAAATAACATCAACCCATTCATGACTGCATATTAGAATGGCTAGTTGGACATTTATTGGACAATGGCATCATTTGTTTACTTTTGAACATTGACAAAAATCAAACATTTCCCCTACTTTGAGCTCCATTTCTAGGTTCTTTTTATAGTAAAATCAATCAAAATCACCTCTATTTCTGTAATATGTTTTCCATTCTATCAAATGAGACCAAGAAAACGAGAATACCACCATAAATACTATATGAAAATAGACCACAAAGTCGGCATTTTAATTAAAAAAAACGGTCAGGTTTTTTTTTTCTCATTATGCACTGCATGCTCCAGAATTTTTTTTTATATGGTGCACACTGACCACACAGACCCATTCTCTCACATGTGGGCCTACCAGCTTTCTCCTGCTTGATTTGAAGCCACTAGAATTTATGAGTATACATACGTCAAACAAGGTACCTCGTAAGACGTATATATACAGCCGCGGCAGTCAAAGGGTTAAGGAATACAATTTTTTTTTTTGGGGGGGGGGAACATTTCTACTAAAAAGTGCAATAATTGTGGAGTGGCAAATATTTATACATATATAGAAAGAATAAACAATATAACGATTAGAATACTAATTTATCTCAGATTACAAGCACATCTAGAGGAAACTTTAAAGATGATAAAGTATAATTATTATTAGACCTGTCTTGTTAAAGGCCAAGGTGAACTTGCTCAGTTATTCTTTATAGCAAGTTTGCAGTCATGAGACTCGGGCAGTTGTGTCCACCGTTTTGCCTGTCAAATACAGTAAGTCTTCGACTTACAAACACGCTGAGAATCTTCTGTATTATGTATATCATTATTATACACAATACAGAAAGTCCCCCAACATGTTTGTAAGTTGACGACTTTCTGCATTATGAATATACACAATTCAAGAGGTCCCCACTGTGTTTGTAAGTCGAGGACTTACTGCACATGGTTTTCATTCAACCATTGGGTGTGATGGAGCTATAATAAAAAACTTAAAAGGTGTTATGCCATACACGTGTCATTAGCGTTTATACAAATGTAATATGTCATTATTATTTAGTATAGCAGTAACTAATCCTACATATATGAAGCTACAGTCAGTTCATTTGTGTCTTGACACTCTTTCTCATCAAGGATATACTGTATACACTGATAGTTTACTTTAATCCATATTTTAGGGAGTAAGTATGCTTGAATGTGAACAGGTTATATGCAGCCATAATGACCATCGTGTGGTCGATAAACTTAAAATGAATCAGATGCACAGTAAGTAGCAGCTCTGGTGGCACAAAATAAGTGTTTTGTTACATGTTATATAATGTGATGGCCCATTATCCTCAACAAAGTAATTACTGTGGCTTAGTCAGATGTGGGACTGTAACTGCAGAATAAAGCAGTGATTGTGTGTTGTACTGTCAGCTTGGTGGTTCCCTATTTTCACGCTCCAAAATTTATTGGCATTATGGTATGTTATAATTAGTTAAGTGTTATTGATGGATGACAATCGGATGTAACCTAAAAAGCATAGCTACAGAAATTTGCTAAAAACAGTAGGTAAGAAATCAACTTAGGATTTTGGACAGGTTAATTGTTCACACATTTCAAATAAAATTTAATGAATCAGTGCTTCAGAATTCTTGTACAGTATAAACATTAAATCTATAGATATTAGTATTAGTTCAAATAAACAATGTTGCAACTCGTGAGAGGCATACAGCAATGCTTCCCGTGTGACATCATGTACAAACACTACAGTATTGTTTCATACATGGCATCCAGTTAGTTTGTTTCTTAGCAAATAGCAATAGAACTGGTCAATTTTTATTATTTTAGCCTGGATGTATCTAATGAAATGTTTTGAAATTTATAATTTGTTGGCTGCTTCCATAGCAATCATTGGTTTTCTGAATATCTTTGTGTAAAATTTTGTTTTAACTGACCCAGAATAAATGCCCATGAATGCATGTAGTGCAGTACATGACCTTTAAAATAAGGTAATTTTTATTCTAGAAATGGAGATATAGTTCAGTGTAAAATGTTAGTCACTTGCAGTAAAACATATTTCTACTAGATGTAAGCTCTTTGCCTTTAGCCTTATTACCAGTAATTACAACTAGTTATGCAGTACTTAAAAAGCATTCTGTTCTTGTGATAGCAAATTTTCAGGAGGAGGATGCAACAGACATGTGTAGTAGTAGTAGTAGTAGCAGCAGCAGCAGCAGCACACAGCAAGAGGCATTCTTGAGCTTCCCCAGTGCTAAGGCTTAATTCCAAAAGTTGGGATGTGACTCCAAAAGGATCCTGTAGTACTTGCTGCCTTTGCACCTCCTGACATTGTCTGCTGTTATGCAGTTGCCACACCCTTCGAGCCCAGTGTGGGCGGGATTTGTGGCAGCCCAAGATGCCTAGCTTCTTCCTCCAAGCCCTGTGGGGCAGGGGACTGGGGCTAGGCTTAGGGATAGCTGTCCCAGAAGACAAGGAGGTACTTGTACCTCCTCCCATGGCAGATATTGGTCTGAGGCACTCCCTTGACAGAGAGCCAAGGCCAGACCCCCTCTTGGAAAAGGCTCGGGCCAGGCGATTATGCCGCGAATCTACAACAGAACGGCAAATTTTAAATTTTTCATTTTACTTGCAATCATAGAATGCTAGTGAAACTAAATTGTTTGTATTCACAGTTTTTTTAAATTACAATTGGTCAAGTGGTTGTAAATGGCATGGTGATTCTGACAAGCTGTGAATTAGGGTATAATGTCTTGAACTGTACATGACTGTCTTATCCACTGTAGTTGGTGTCTTTATCCACTGCAATTGGTCACTTAACTGTACTGCATATGATATGTTTTTCAGGAAGGCATGTAACCCATAAACTTATAATTAAAACCAAAGATGATTACATCTTTGGTCATCTCATAGGATGGCCACCTGTGCCATTCTGCAAGGGTTTCTGGGTTGTAATTTAATAAGATCCCAGAATTGCCTTCAATACGTACTGTTTAAAGTTTTTTTTCTCTAAGTGTAGGGTTATTTGTGAATTATTCCAGCCATTGTATTATGATCTTTACTCTTCAGATGTTGATAGATTACTCTGTTTATCAGAGCTTACAGATTTGAATGCTCTTATTTATCTGAGAACTTTGAAAGTCTTTAATGCTCTGAGAATTTCTTTTTTAAATGACACCTAATTTTCTTTACCACCATTTTGTTCCTTTTAATGTTGGCAATCATTTGCCATGCTACACTGAATAACCCACAGTGATTTAGTTAGCTCTTTCTGTGAATATAATAATGGGGTAAAAAATGATAAAATATCCACAACTGATATATTGCACCAATCTTTTATTCCTAATTTTGCATATCTACTTGCCCTGAGTAATCTACAGCTTTTTCCTCTTGCTGTGAGTTTCTCTTTGTACTATGCAGCACTGAATGCCCACCATTGTTTTTTTTCACATTTTATAAATACTGAATAACTGTGTACTTCATTTTACCATTGGATTGCATTGAATATATATTACATTGAAATATTTGCATCTAACTAACTTGTACCTTCAGGGAATTTGCTAGATGTTCATACCAAACATAGGGTGCAACCAAGAACTTGTTCTTTCATACTGAATAGTTTTCCTCATTGTATTTTATCTTTAATACAATGTAATTTTTAAGGCAGCTTATGTGATGTACTTTTTTTTTTTTTTTTTTTTTTTTTTTTTTTTTTACAAGTTGGCTGTCTCCCACCGAGGCAGGGTGACCCAAAAAGAATGGAAATCCCCAAAAAGAAAATACTTTCATCATCATTCAACACTTTCACCTCACTCACACATAATCACTGTTTTTGCAGAGGTGCTCAGAACACAACAGCTTAGAAGCATATACGTACTGTATAAAGATACACAACATATCCCTCCAAACTGCTAATATCCCAAACCCCTCCTTCAGAGTGCAGGCAATGTACTTCCCATTTCCTGGACTGCATTATAATTTTTACCATTTTTAATTTGTTTGTTATTATTTGTTAACATTGCTTCATTATTTTATACACAATACTGTATTTAATATACAAGCTTGCTGAGTTTCAGTGCCAACAAGGTATCAAATTGCTGATGTGTGATAAAAAGAAGTAGCTGGACTACTGGAGTTTTGGGGCCCACAGTTATATATTGTAAAAATGACTGTTTTGGTTTGGGTATACCCAAAAGCTGAGTCCTTTACTACTACAGTCTATGAAGACTAAATTAAAATTACTGCATGTTGATTTCAGGCAAGGTATATGTTTGATCAAGATCCAGTAGTACTGTGATCCAGGCTTACAAGAGTCACAGTCTCGAGAGTACCAAGGTTTAAATTGCAATTCCGAGCTATGCTGGTCTGGGATTATATTAGTGACTAGGTGCACTGTGGGTTTGGTATAAAGATCACTCTGGAATGATTCTTGAGAGTTTGATGGTATGAGTCAATGAAAGCTGAATGTAAGAAAGGTATTACATACTTTTCCTTTCAAAGTCTCAGTTTATTAAAACAGTTTTCATAATCTATTTCCCAGAGAATGTAGACAGTGAGTTAGTTTACACACATTGTGAAGCCAAGAGGACAAATAGTTTAAACTACAAACTGCTGGTATGTGTTGATCATAGCATATTACACTTTATATACTTTGTATTATAAGAAAATTGTAGGTTCTTAAACATCTTGTAGATTAAATACCTAACTTTTTGCACACACTACAGTATATTAATGTAGTAGCTTGAAATGTTTACAATAATGATTTTTCATTATAATACACCTGTAGCATGATATAATTTTCTTTGTATTGTATCTCTTATTTTGCTTTATTTTTAGTAGTGTATGCAGGATATGTACTTTTAACAATTTGCCACCATTACTGGGTAACTTCATAAAATCATCACTTGTTTCATTACGATCCATTGACTCCCCTAATCACAACATGCTACCTATTTCAAATTACAGGCACCTTACTTCCATCTACAAACTAAATCTGGCTAACTGGTTTCTCTGTATCCCTTCATAAATTATAATACTTATTCTCCAACAGCAAGTCAGATCTCAAAATCTATTGGCCTCCACACTGATCAAAATACATGTATGCTGGATGCTTAACCTCAAAATCTTTACACACTCTTTCCAGCACTTCCTCAGGAATTCCCTACATCTTTCATCTACCTTTCCCTAAAGAGAGGTTCCTAGATTCTGGTGAAGGACTCTTGATCTAAGGAATTGGCCTTGTGCTCCAATTCCTTGAATAGTCTGAATGCCTTCCATTTCCCAAGGCACTGTATGACTCCCTATGGGTTTAGCATTCTTCCATCTCAAGGGAGATGAGGGGCTTGTGATCCAAGGAATTGGACTTGTCCTCCCCTTCCTTGCATCAAACCTGAATGCCTCCATTTCCCAGGTGTTTAGAACCCCTACATGTTTAGCACTTCCTCTTGAGTGTAATCTTTATCAACCTGGCTTGCTCCCCACTTTCTGTATGAACAAACCATCACCTTTTATGCCATATAATGTATTTTGATTTATTTACTGCTTAAAATTTATGGTTCACTTTGATCTCAGGCCTAATGTTTCCACTTAATTCAGCTGCAACAGTGAAAGACAATACACCACAACTTTAAGAGTGCAGATAACCAGTAGCAAAGTCGAGACAGGAGGTAAGTAAAGTTTCAGAAAATAGTTTGGACTAATATAAATGAGATTAGTTGGATTTGAGCAGAACTGCCTAGTGTGGGCCAGCATGCCTGCTATATATCTTCCTTGTATTTATTGTTCATTCACATGACAGTGGATCCTAACTTTTATGATAATATTTTAGCTAAAAGTTTGGAAGTGCAACTTTGACTTCTGTTGGACAGAGGCCAAAGTTGCTGGAAGTTACTTTAATTGCCACAGCTGATGTAGTCCCACAAAGGTCTGGAAGCTTCACTGTTTACTAACTTTTAGTTAAAAGCTTACTATTCATGTTAGAATCCACTGTCATATAAACACTGAACATGGAGAAGCTGTACAGCAAATCCAGCTTGTCTCATTTATATCTGCCCAATTTATTTTCTACAACCTGATGTATCTCCTGCCTCATCTCACCCTTGCTATTGGTCCCCTGCATTTCTCTATGTTATACTGCTTTATTTACTCTGTATTCGGACTGATGAAGCCACTTGTGACAAAACGTTTCCTTTAATAAAAGTTCTAAACTGTACATGTGTCTTTTTCCAGTTTGTTGGTACCACGTTTAATTATCTGTTAGTAATTTTTTTTTTTCCCCCCATCGAGTCATGTTGAGCACAAAGGGTATGTACACTGAAAGGAATGCTGAGAGCATAATTTAAGCTCTATATTAGTGATCAAAGTAACCTCAATTGGCAGTGTAAAGGTTACATGTGCCCTAATGATCTTTGTATAGATTTTTAACTCGGCAATCAACCATCCAGTCCAGTTTGGCACTTTTCTAAAAAAAAAAAAATTTTTTTTAACAAAGTCGGCCGTCTTCCACCAAGGCAGGGTGACCCAATAAGGAAGAAAATCCCCAAAAAGAAAATACTTTCATCATCATTCAACACTTTCACCTCACTCGCACATAATCACTGTTTTTGCAGAGGTGCTCAGAACACAACAGTTTAGAAGCATATACGTATAAAGATACACAACATATCCCTCCAAACTGCCAATATCCCAAACCCCTCCTTTAGAGGGCAGGTATTGTACTTCCCATTTCCAGGACTCGAGTCCAGCTATATAAAAATAACCGGTTTCCATGAATCCCTTCACTAAATATTACCCGTCAGGTCCCAAATACCATTTGTCTCCATTCACTCCTATTGAACACGCTCACGCACGCCTGCTGGAAGTCCAAGCCCCTCGCCCACAAAACCTCCATTACCCCTTCCTTCCAACCTTTTCGAGGACGACCCCTACCCCGCCTTCCTTTCCCTACAGATTTAAACGCTCTCCATGTCTTTCTACTTTTATCCATTCTCTAAATGACCAAACCACCTCAACAACCCCTCTTCAGCCCTCTGACTAATACTTTTATTAACTCCACACCTTCTCCTAATTTCCACACTCCGAATTTTCTGCATAATATTTACACCACATATTGCCCTTAGACAGGAATATAAATATCAAATCTACATACTCTTCCAATGTTGGTCCAATATGGCTCATAAAAAATTACATTCTATCAAACCAAGTTTGGGTTTCTGGCCTTGTCATCATTACTGAGGTTGGGAGACATTGGGCATACCTGTCTTATTTGTGGGTATCTCATGGAGAGGTGCCCTGTTCCACTTTGAGAATTGCCAGGTGCCAATTTCAGTTTGCCATATTCTGTTGGACTGTCCTGTCTATCAATGAGCATGCAGAATTTTCCTCCAATGTCATCACCACTCATACACCCTTACTTTATCTTCCCTCCTTGCTGACAGCCCCACCTTTGACACAGACTCCCTCTTTGACTTATTAACTGCTAATATTTCTACACAAACTTTGATGATTCTTCCTTTAGCACTCCTCACTGCCCTTTCTAACTCTACCTCTGTTATCCTTTCCATCCTTCCTATTTTATGATCGAGCAACACCCCCTGCCCTGCAGCGCTGTTTGACCCTAGTGGGTTTAGTGCTTCCTTTTGATTATAATAATAATACATACTCCTTGAAACTCCCAGTTCCTTTCTTTTGCTTATTTTGTGATAAGCCTCATTTTTTTTAGACTTTTGCCAACACGTCAACTTGCAAATACCTAAATACATTCACATGCTCCATACTGTTTCCTTTCAATTTAGCATAGTTTTTCATTCCCTAGGTTTCTCATGCTCATCACTCTTTTTCTGTTTTCACATTCCTCTATCGAAGGCCTACTTTTTCTAGAAAAGTATTTCCCCTTTATTCCTATGTACTCTAACCTAAGCTTTTCCTCATAAATCTTTACAGCTTTTAACAGCTTGCTACCTTTTCTATACATCTGCAACATAAGCTACATTACTCTCCCTCCCCTCCTCTCCCTTCTCACTTTTGTTATATATTTTGCAGATAACTACTAAAAGCACATGTATTTAAATTTGACTTAAAGAAATTCAGGTTTATGTATATAATAGTACAGTTTCATTTTATGCTTATTAAATTAAACTTGCAACAAAAGGATGTCAGCAGTCTTACATTTCCTATAACACCTTTACCACTACTAAGGGAATTATACCTCTTAAAATTATATAAATACAGTGGAATCTTGGTACTCGAACTTAATTAGTTTCAGAAGGCTATTTGAGTGCCGCTCTGTTTGAGTACCAAACGAATTTTTCCCATTAAGGAATAATTAATAATTTTTCATCTCTATTGTGACTAACCAGTTTTCTTTTTGGTTGGCTGTTATCATTAATCTTAGGCCCCATGGTGGCTTATTTATACAAATAGTAGTGCTGTATAGCCCTTGTGGTTTAGAGCTTCTTTCTGATTATAATATACAAATAGTATAAAAAAAAAGAATGCGAAGAAACATGAAATAGTTTACAGCAAAGTTCAGCGGAGTTTTGCACTGAGTGACAGCTGTGGGAAGACATGCACATTGTTTGGTCGAGTGCCGAGCAAATGGTCAACTACTGAACAATTTTTTTTACTGAACAAAGCGTTGGAATACTGAATTGTTTAAGTTGGGAGCTGTTTGAGTACCAAGGTACTATTGTAGCAAGAATAAGCAAAACAGTGGATATTAAGCTCATGTTACATTCATGGGGAGCACTGAACCAACAGGGCTTACAGTACCTGAGGCTCAATTCAAAGTTTATTCTCTATAAGGATTACAATGCTGAGTTTACAGAATTTGGTTATTGTGTGGTTTACATGTAGTAAAATAATGATTACAGAGTGTACCACTAGAACTAGGTCAGATTCAATTCCTTGGATCAAGAACCCCCTCACTGGCATCAAGGAACCTTCCTTGAGGGGTGATAAGTTCATAGTCATTCTGCTGAGTCTATTGCAATACCTTGGTACAAGGATAATGTAACCCTATATTATTCAAGTAGCAATCTCTGACCCCCTTTTACCAGATATAAGAGACCCATCTCCCAATTTTCTCACTGAATCCACCCCTATTAATTTTTAGCTGTATTTTGAATGACCCTTGTGGGTTTAGCACTTGGTTTTGATTGTAACAATAATAATTTTAATGCTAGACCAAAGTTTCCTCGTGAATATAACCTGGATTTATAAACATTAATATTTCATTTTTATTGACCTAAGAAAAGCTTTTGACACAGTAGACCATGGCATCCTACTCCACAAACTTGACCATTATGGTATAAGAGGCCATGCGCTTGCATATTTCAAATCCTACCTTACTAATAGGTATCAGTATGTCACCATTAAAGACACAGCATCATCAACACGGCCACTTGATACTGGAGTTCCGCAGGGAAGTGTCCTTGGTCCCCTGCTCTTCCTCATATACATCAATGATCTTCCAAACGTGTCCCAACACCTGAACCCCATTCTCTTTGCTGACGACACGACTTATGTCATCTCTCACCCAAATCTTGCCACCCTCAACACCATTGTTAATGAGGAGCTGCTCAAAATATCGACTTGGATGGCAGCCAATAAACTTACGCTTAACACTGACAAAGCCTACTATATTATGTTTGGTAGCAGAGCAGGAGTTGCGCAAATTAACACTAAGAACGACAACACTAATTGCCAGATATAATGAGGGCAAATTCCTAGGCCTGTACCTCGACAACAATCTGAATTTCAGCACCCATATAAAACACATAACCAAAAAAATATCCAAAACAGTTGGGATCCTCTCCAAGATACGATACTATGTGCAGCAAAATGCCCTTCTCACACTATACCACTCACTTATTTATCCATATCTCACCTATGCTATTTGTGCTTGGGGATCAACTGCAGCAACACAGCTAAAGCCAATAACCCAACAAAAAGCCGCATAAGAATAATCACTAAATCCCATCCCTGGCAACACCCCCCCCCCCTCTTCATAGATCTAAACTTACTCCCTGTTCAGTACATCCACACTTACTACTGTGCAATCTTAAATTCCAATATTAACCTTGACCTAAAATGATTTCTTGATAGTTGTGACAGAATCCACAGGCATAACACCAGACACAAACATCTCTATGACATTCTCTGTGTCCGACTAAACCTTTACAAAAATTCAATGTATGTCAAAGGCCCTAAAATCTGGAACACCCTACCTGAAAACTCTAGAACTGCAGACACATTCATCACCTTCAAAACTACCATTAGAAAACATCTTATCTCCCTGATACACACCATCAACTAATTACATGAATACCACCTGGTGGTTCACACTTACACTCACTCACCCATTTGAACATAAACACAGAAATATCAATCTTAATCTTAAAATAATGAATCCTAACTAGTCGTAAGTTGGCCTGTGATACTCCAATACTGAAACTATGTATTGTGCGAAAACAAAAGCATTCACATTGCTAAACTCACAAACTAGTACAGTGGACCCCCGGTTCGCAATACTAATCCGTTCCTGAGAGCTCATCGTAAACCAAAAATATCGGAAAGCGAATCAATTTTCCCCATAAGAAATAATGGAAATCAAATTAATCCATGCAAGACACCCAAAAGTATGAAAAAAACTTTTACCACATGAAATATTAAGTTTAATGCAATAGAATAGTAATTACAATAACAACAATAACAATAAATAACGAAAGAATAATTGACACCTTTAATGAAGATTTGGTGATGATTGATGGGATGGGAGGAGGGGAGAGTGTGGATGGTGTTAGCATTTAGAAGGGGAATCCCCCTCCATTAGGACTTGAGGTAGCAAGTCCTTTTCCGGGGTTACTTCCCTTCTTCTTTTAATGCCACTAGGACCAGCTTGAGTCACTGGGCTTCTGTCGCACAACATAACTGGCAGCCTCACCATGCCTAATCACACTATGTATGCCACTACGATTCTTAAATCTTTCAAACCAACCTTTGCTGGCCTTAAATTCACTCACATCACCACTAGTTGCAGGGAATTTTTTTTAAACCCAAAACGTCATGCAACTGCCTAGCCTTTTCACAAATGATTGCTTGAGAGATGCTATCTGTTTTTCATTTATCCACACCAATAACAGTCTCTCAACATTTTTAACACTGTGGTTGCTGTTTCGTAATCACAGTTGCACCTTTTGCAAGAACAGCTTC